CAGTAAAAATTCGATTGAATTCGATTGAAACCGTCAAAATTTCTAGTTGACGCACTTTAGCACTTTAGCGATGAGAAAAAGTGACATCTTTCGGAATCGACAATTATAGATTCTGGTTTAGAATCTTTATTGTATAAAAAACCTAACCTCCACCTTTATGGAAGCAATAGTAAAACGACAAGACGTACACAAACTCCTCACGATGGACGAAAAATGACTGTTGTGTTGGCTAAAAAGATGGTTATGATACAGTGATAATCATGAAGATGATGACGGTGATGACGCTGACGATGACGATGACGACGACGACGATATCGATGTTGTCGAAGCGGGGGACACTGGGGGAAGGGGAAGGGGAGAGTTGTTGGGGGAACCCGAAGGGGGGTGTGTAGAAGCAGCGCTGTAGCTTTGCAGTGCATTGAGGCAATTGTGCTGCTATTACTGTTGGCATACTCCTTAATGTGTTTCTTTGGTCTTCAAAAGAATTTGAACCTTTCGCTTTCTTCCGCCTTCTCCCCCCTTGGCTTCCCCTTTATCATCCATTACCCTATCTATCTATCTATCTGTCTATCTATTCATCCCGTATTGCTACCCCCCAGCGTTTCGACAGATATATTACTACGTACTTTTCACATTGCATATACCGTTATTATTCAAAAAAAAGTTTAAAAAAAGAGCAAAAAAAAAAGCAGTTACATGCCGCGGAATAGTTGGAGGTTGACCCGTTTGGTTCGGGTAAGTCGTTAAAAATGATTCCGAAATGGTTGTTGTAATTAGTGGCTTACTATTTAGTAATGGTTAAAGTGTTCACTTTTTTGTGTTTTCTTTTCTGCGTTTTCATCGTCTAGGTATTTTTCATTTGCAGATGAGGTACTGAATAAATCTGTAATATGATTGAAAGTTTATTAGTCAAACGCTTTCCCATTGTTTACTGTGTCGTCCACCCACAACTTTTGATTTTTTCTTTTTTTTTTCTCCATTGAATTTTAGTAAAAAAATGAGAATAAAAATGAAAATAAAGTGAAATCAAATAAAAAGAAGACCTGGGGAAGAGGAACAACGATGTTGCCAAACTGTATCGTGGGTTACAGGTGGGCACGTTTTAAATGTTGTTGAATTATGGATAAACATCTGAAAAGAGAGAGGAAGCGAGGAAGGGGGAGGGGGTTATGAAGCGGGGACGAAGAGTC